ATTGATTCTGCAATCCTCAAGACTTTTTGATACACTTTTAATATGGAATGTAATCCTCTATGTCTGTAATAAATAATATTATTGAGTGGGATTATGTACCACATATAGTTCCATGGATGGCTATTATAAATAGAATAAACTGCCGTCATAAAGGTTAAATTTAATGTACTTTTAATTAGAAAGATGAGATACACTTGTATACGAAGTATTCACTGCTGGATTTTAGTTATTTGGGATGTAAGAGTGCAGGTTGATATGGTATGTAGCAGGTTAATATAAAGCAATTGCACACAGCCATTTTCATGCTACTAACAGTTTGAAAAACAGTGTCATAATGTATGTGGATACTTGTAACGTCATATTGGATGATCCACTTATGTTAAGTCAGTCTGTCCCTCTGGTTTGTAAGAAACGTTGTTTAACAAATTGCACTTAACTCTATAATGTATTTATGCTGTTGAGGAGGAATTCAAATAAAAACGATATATAAAGTTAATTTTTATAATCATATTTTTTGTTTATTTTACCTGTTACAATTCTTAAATTTATATTATATATAAAACATGTTGCATAGACTACTATACCGTAAAACCTCGAATTGAAGCCCAGTGGGCTTAATCTCGAGATGAAGCCCATCTCGAATTGAAGCCCCCTCTTTAGTTTACAAAATTAGCCTCGAAAAGAAACCCATAGACTTGTTTTCGAGATAGTAGGCTACAGTATCTACACTGTACATGAATTTAAAAAAAAAAAATTAAAAACAAGCTTGGTTTACACGTAGTTTAGGTGATTTAATGCCAGTGAAATACACTCCATGATGCAGATTAATGTTACGGTTTTATATTAAAAATTCACGAAGTTTACAGTACTCATTTTGAAAAGAAGCCCCCCCCCCCACCTTACTTTGCGAAAGTAGCCTCGAAAAGAAGCCCATCTTGAAAAGAAAAAAAAAAAAAAAAAAGAAGCCCAGGACTTCAATTTGAGGTTTTACGGTAGGCCTAATATACCGTACATATATAAGATGTGTATAAGAGACAGCAACACGCGTGTTGTTTAGGCACGTGCCTATTCCTGGCACTGTTGTGATTGGTAGTTTGTTACCATTGATTGACACTCCAGAAAGGTCCATTAATGCCATCAGAAATTAAAAATAAGTTATTGTTAAACGTTCAACTTACACAAAATACAACAAATTTGTTAATAAAATATTTATTAACTGCTTTTTAAATGTGCTTTCATTTAAAAATGAATAATTACTGTAGTTAAAGTTTTTGTGAACTTTCAAACGTTTTAACCGAAAACAAACGTTACCGAATAATAGATAAATAATTACTATGCAAGTGTTCAACTATTCTTACACTGTATTCAGAGATTCTGTCACAAATAATAAAATAACTGGGCAACAACACTATAGAAATGACATATCTATTTTAAAATAAACGCATCACATTGTAAACACGTGTCGAATCGGGTCATTGTTGAGTATTTTACTGAAAGTAAAATCCGTAATTGAGTCAATTTCCACTTCTCTTCTTACCTGATTCGTTTGAGGTTTTGTGTTTGCTCTCCAGTTTGGTTCGGTATTTTGGATTTCTTGAAAACTTCATAGCCAATAACCACCAAATGTACAAGAACAATCTAAGAAAGAAAATAAATATGTTTGATGTAAATTGTAGTAGAAAAATGCGATAACTACCAATTGTTCTAAGAAAATACTTAGTTTCATCTTGTTAGTGCTATAAAGTTTTGTTGGAACATAACCACCACCTGCACGAGGAAAATCTATAAAACTAATATTTTTGTGTTGTAGAAAAAAAAGGTTAATTTGATATGTTGCAGTAAACACCAACGTTATAAGTACCCTTATAATTGGCTCTTTCTAAAATCGTTGGTACAATTGCTATACGCCGGATTTACTTCTGATAAAGCTTGCTGAAGTCACATACGATCCAGCAGCAATCTTGAAAATGGTGTCTTCTTTTTTGATTTTTGAAATTTTTATTCTAACCTTTTTTTTTAAATATATTAGGCCTTCACGTTATTAAGTGGATATGAAACTAGATATACCGTAAGAGTGAGGCATACAGGAACAATGAACGTCCAAATGGCACCAGAGCCAGTCTGCAACCAGCACCTAGGATTTATAGTATTAGGAAAAATGTAAATATGTTGCAGTCAAAATCATACCTACTAATTGTGACGTTTAGTATAGGCGTACTTTATAGATGTTTGTCTCTGCAATTTACATATTATATACAAGTAGGCCTGTTTGATGTTTTTTGAATATATTATTGTGTTTAATATGAATGATGTAATTAATGTAAACACTTCCTTCTGCAATTTTATCAACAACAATAATATCATCATCATCTTATTATCATCACAATCTTTATCATCAACATTATGATCATGTTTATTATTATCATCATCTAAACATCATCACCATCATCATCATCATCAGACGGTAATCAACAACAACATTATAATCATCTTCATCCTCAACATCGTCATCATCAACATCATCACCGTCGTAATCATTATCATCATCACCTTCATCATCATTATTCCTATTAATATTGAGTTCTATATTTTAAATAAAACATTTTAATGTTGTTATTGATAATAATTTACTTATCAGATGCGTAGTTTTGTCTTGTTATGCTACTGGTCATAACAACGAAAATGAGGGGTCCAATCCAACCAATATAACGGCTGTACACAAAGCGCTTTTCATGATCAGCAAACGGACGCTTGATCTTCATGTAAAGATCCGTTGACGTGATCAACATCCACAAGAAAGCTACCAAGAGACTGTAGTGCAGGCATCCAGCTAGGACACTGCATGCGACCTTAAAGTAAGCATTTTAATTTTAGGTTTATTCCCGGTAAGTCGAAGTATGACAAAGATTAAACAGTAGGCCCAGATTGCGATGCTAAACACTTATGCCGCGTCTGATTACTAGAGTGCCAATTAAACCTAACAACCGACCAATCAGAATAGAGTCAGGAATACGCGCGTGTCATACAAACACGCATGTCCCACAAACGCACATGTTTTGTGCGTTTACTCCATTGATTTTTGAGACCTTACCAAGAAATATCCCAAGAAGCAGGGCTTAGCGGAATGGTCCGTGGGGATATATGGGGTGCTGGATCGGTCGATGTTGTAACTAAACCTTTGTATGTGGCGCAAAAATGTGGTTTATCAGGTCGATTCTTGGCAAAGTTTTTCTGTTTTTGAAGAGGTTTTTATTTATTTTTTTTTTTTGCATTCTTTTAGCCATTAACATTTTGATATATTTTACTAGGTTTTTGTTAGTGGACTTTTTAAAAATTGTTATTATTGTTGCTGATGCTGTTATTTAATTTAGTGTTTTTAATCATCATAATTATCATCATATTACTCAATACTATCATTATATTATTATTAATGATAAATATTATTATTTTGTTGTTATCGTTATAATTTGTTGTTTTCATTGTCGTCCATCCTGTTATATTAATATATTTATTTACTTATTTATTTATTTATGGTCAAACCCAAGGACACAACCCCAGTTAAAAAACAGTGTGATACGTGCGGAAAGACGTACATCGGAGAAACAGCAAGATCATTAGACATACGTGTCAAGAAACATTTAAATGAACGTGTTGAAATACGTTCAGCGGTAGCGGAACATTGTAAAATCACTGGACATAACATTAATTGGAATAAAATCAAAGTATTATCTAAAGAGACTAATTCATTCAAAAGGAAAATGAAAGAAGCTATAGAAATTAAAATGAGAACGCCACCATTAAACCGAGATTGCAGATTGAACTACCACCCATATACAATAGCCTGCTACGTCATCACACGAAATATTAATGCTGAAGTGTCAGTTAACCGCCAGATTCAAAGGGCTTAAGAAGATGTCAAGATGTCATCAAAAACTTCCAGAAACTAAACCATAACTCTAAAGGTAACTTACACTCTTATTTATTTATTTAGTATTATGAATATTATTATCCTGCAATATTATAAACGTTTTCGGTGGCAATGTTGTTGGGGACATGGGTGAGTGTTGGTGGTGTTTTGATGGTGATTGTTTTGGTGTTGGGAGTTGTGATATAGGCAAGAGTAAATGTCTTAAAGACATAGATATTTTATTTCAAATGAGTAACATAATACAACATACCGAGTTCTGTACATCAGCCTCCAGGAGCAAAAAGAAGAAATTGACACAAAGTAGAGCGATGACCAAATGGCGCAATATTCTGTACCGGTCCGAGTTCCGCAAATTTCTAAGAGCAAAAAGATACAGATGTATACAATGTTGGTAGTGAGAAATTTTCCGACAGAACGTTTCCCTCGTTGACATCTTGCTAATGGGACGGGGTGCGTGGGTGTGCAAAAATGGAACAACTGCGTATACGTAAAGTCGCATAGAACAATTGACGGGTCATGAGCAAAAGCAGGTTGGATGGCAGCTTTGGTATTGTAGGGCGTTTTAGGTGTTCCTAAAACATAAAAGTATTTAAGATTCACTTTTTAGATTTATTACAGAAAATAGCAAATTTTGTATTCACTATAATTTTTGACTGTCTTAAAATTGTGGATCATTTTCGATCTGAGAACTGGGTAGGAGGGGTTGCATATTTTTATAATTTTTATTAACATTATTTAAATTTTTCATATTGTTATTAGTATTCCCTGACGTATTATTTACCTAAGTCAACTTACCTGAAACCACAGATAATAAGGAGAGTGAGTATGAGGAAAATACTCGAAATTACCAAGCCAGTAGTCGTAAGCACGGACGAGATCTTGTCATCATTTGTCTATGAAATATATATATACAAGGGTTCAGATCATCAAACCGACGACAAACCCCATTCTTATGTTTTCACCACTGTAAAATTTTATGTGACACCTAACTGTGTTATGCCTACAGGTGTAAATTGACATTAAATATGGGAACATCACACAAATGGTTGCTCGGTAATTGATGATTTAATTGACAAAACTTTTTAATTATTTATTATTATTATTATTATTATTATTATTATTATTATTATTATTATTATTATTATTATTTGTTGTTGTTGTTGCTGTTGTTGTTGTTGTTGTTATTATTATTATTATTATTATTTTTTGATAGTTCAATTTGGCAGCATAATGTTATAACATTTTTACCTGCTCCGGTTTCATCAGAATAACGAATGACGTCAGGTGGTTGCATATACACGTCACTCCGCTTATAAAGTAGTCGGCACCATAGAACGTTACACAACCATCCGTCGACCACACACTTGAGAATATGCAGCGACGATAGACAATCAATACATCGTTTTCAAAAAACAAACATTTTCAAAACACATTTAAAATCTCACAAAATTTCAAATAACCTATATATATTTGCTCACAAATCATGATCATAATTATCACAACCACTTCAACCGTCATTCATCAGCATTATAATCATTACCACCGTCACCACCGGCCCATCGTCTGAATTTTCATCTTCATCAATATTCTCAATATTTTTCAATATACAAAGCCTAGATAATGTGAATAAATCATGCGAATCGGTAAGAGATAAAAAAAAATGTTTGGGGTATTAACAAAGATACTGAAATATAAGATCACTCGTATAGAAAAATGCGGCGGAAATTGGGCCAGACGGCTGCGGCGCCCTCCTCTTTTTATAATGCAAGTTTTCTATACCTGGTCCAGACGTATATGGTGCTCTTCCGTTTGCTAGGTATATATCCGGACGAACACGGCGCCCCTTTTTTCCACTCAATGGAGGAAATTATCACTAATCAGAGTCCGGTCATACGACTGCAGTTTTGTGTCTGTCATTTTATTGTTTTGATTTATTTATGCCTACTCTTGTGTATCTTATGAATAATGGCAATGATTTAAACCTCCGCAAAAGGAGGTTATGTATTTCCAGTTATGTAACGGTGGCAGAAGTTTTTTAGATACAGCCGTATGCGGCGCCCCATTGTTTGTATTCCCACTATGCATTTCGGTTATTTTTTTTTTCCCAGTGGAGAACACTATATTGTGTTTCTAGTATCTTTGGTATTAATGCATCTTTAATTAATAATGCAAGTTTAATGTTAGGCCCTGTCCTAACTATCATTTTTTTTTTGTGGGTGACATGCCTAAATATAGTCATGATGACATCACATCATGACCACATATAGACACATCATGACTATATAGCCCTATGTATGGGCATGTAACGAGATGCTGATAAAATAATTCTGCACACATGCGCGGATGCACATGTTTGCTTGTAAGATCATGGATATTAAAAAATGCAGTGACAACATTTTTTTTACAAAAACAGTGTTAGTGTAGTTTAGAAATTAAAGGGAATGAATAAGTGTGTAACACTCACGTCGTTAGCGGCTCATTATAATTATTTGATTAAGGAGAAATTACACAAAATATACCCTTTCCCCACGAAGATAGATATATCATACTTATTTTTACTATCATTAAATGATACTGTTACTATATTATTGTTACATAATGTTTATTTTAATTATAATTATTTTTTTACGATTTCCAAAAATAATAACTGTATTACTTACACTGATGAGTTATTTATGTCGTGTTTGTAGTGGCATTCTGGCATTAGATTCACTTTCGTATTCTTTTTTGTAGTTACATCCTTTAAAATTTAGTTTAAAAGAAAGAAAATTCAAATGAAATTGTGGCACAATTTGGAATACAGCTGCATATAATTACCCGAATGGGTACATATCACGAATGCACATATTTTATATATTTATTTGGCGTTATTTGTCCGGGCTGTAGAATAGCCACAGGCCTAGTTAGACTTCTTACTCTCTGGGTCTGGGTCAAACTCCGAACTTTATTCATTCATTAGGCCTACATAATAGTAATACTCCAACATCACTGGCGCATGATAACAACCAACTGACTGCAGATCATTTCCGGTCACACATTACTCTCCATAACACAGCACCCCTAGTTCCGTCACCTCTGGATTTGAATTAATCGGCAAAACTCCTCTTGGAGCAACACACCGATTGGGTCACAGTCAGTCTGTCAGGTTACCATGAAAGTGAAGATTTATTTTTATATTTGAATTAAGAATGAAAACAAGCAAAAAAAAAGTAACTAAAAGTAAAAAAACATCGTGAAGATAAGACAATCAACAGTAGGAAGGATAGCCATTAAAACCGCTCCATTTTCCATCAATTTGATAGGCCTACCGGTACCCAGTTAAGGGCTCGCTAGCACCTCAGGAGCTCTAGTATCAATATCATCTGATTAACTAACCTACATAAAACAAAAGAAAAAGAGAGAAAAAAAAGCAAGAACAAAACACCACACAAACATTGAATAAATTAAATATTTAAACAAAACGGTCCTTGAAATTAATAAGAGATGGAGGATTCGATAACTAATATTGATAGTATATTATTATCCCATTCTTCATCAATACTATTATTATAGACCTATGAAATTTTATGTTTCCATGACAAACAATAGTTTGAAAAATGTAGTTCCAAATGGTTTACCTTACCTTAATAGAAGGGAAGTGTATCTCACAGTTGGTACTTATTTCATTCTGATTTCTGTCGTAAATATCGATGGTCACGATGTCAGACCCAGTGCGCAACTCATCCCCATTGCTGTAAAATTGAACCTATTGTTAGGAACGAATAGTCATGTACTAAATACAAACATGTATTGTTATGTCAGTACGATGTAACATTATTGACATTAAAACCAGTGTTCAATTCAATTAAATATTTATTTTGCGACAACATAATGATTTCAATACCCTGTATCAACATAGGACTAATATATTAAATGCACTGTAGTGCTGGCATGGTACTGTTGTTTGGTATAGTAATAATAATAGTGATGATGATGATGATGATGACGACGACGGCGGCGGCGGCGATGGTGGAGCATTTTAACCACTAATCACCACTGCCACATTATCATAACTAGTTATGAATATGATGTGTTTTAGAATATGCTAATTTCCATGTCTTATATTTAGGTTATTCATTACCGTATTGAAATTTTACAACTTTGACTTAAATTTGAAATTATGAAACACTTGAACAACTACCATCTTGTACATATTTATAATGTATTTTACATATGACATGCACTTACTAGAACAAAAAGATATAGTAGGCCTATTAAAAAGTTTTGCTTAAACAAAGCTTACACAGATGTTAGAGCGGTGACTTGGATATACCTCAGACTTGCATACAGGTTGAATGGACCATCTAAATATAAACAACTTAAATTAGGACCTAATAAATATATTTATTTAAAAAAAATACTATTCGTCTAAAGCCAAATAGATTGTGTATATTTTATTAAATTTATTAAGCCGGGCACTCCCTGCGTCGTACAGCCTTTGCAAGACGAACCAAACTCCGTTCCATGCGGGCGCTAAACGACGCGACGCTATCTGCTGATTGTCCATGATAGTCATTGGCCGTATTCGACTGGTCGTTCTTCGTTAACCCACGCCCACCTGCGCAGCAGTAAAATCGATCAAAAAAAAAAAAAGACGACCAGTCGAATAGAAAACTTGTAAATACTCGACAAAAAAAAATAGCTGTATAGTTACAGCAATACACATTGCGTAATCAAGATTGCTTCAAGATTGCGTGGTAGTATGGGTTTTTCGTAAAATATTTATTTCATCCAGTTTTTTAATTATGTTAGCCTACAATTATTTTTTGACTTCATGTGGGTAAATATTACAATTTTTATTTTATGAAATTTAATCTAAGTAATATTAACGCAAATGTTGTTTATAACCTCACCAATCGGTCATGTGTTTTTTTTTTCTTTTGGTCACGTGGATAACGCTGATTAACGCACTCTGGTTTACGTTAAT